ATTGGCCAACGCACGGGCTGCCCGCGCGAAGATGCGTTTTTTGCAGAGTTCCCCGCAGTTCTTGTCACTACCGGCACCGATTTTCTCGGCAAACGCTTCTAGCGGCTGCCCGTGCGAAGATGCGTTTTTTGCAGAGTTCGCCGCAGTTTCTGTCGCTACCGGCATCGGTTTTTTCGGCAGATGCTTCTAGCTGAAAGAATTTCAGACTGGCCGCCAGAACTCGTAGAAACATCCCCTCAAAATTCCAGTCTTCTAGCTTCTCACGTTCTCGAGTAAATAACTTACCCGGAAAGAACTTTTCACGGGCCTGTACATAGGTACCACGCTTACCCGTGGGCAGGGTTTGAACTCGCTGATACCCACTTAGATAGAAAACACCCCCTAAGACTTCAGCTTTCTAGCTTATCAGAACCCCGGTTATGGATTTACGCGGCAAAAATTTTGGTGGGCCCGTACGCGGGTACCACGCTTACTCGGGGGCAGGGTTTAAGCTCATTAGCACCTGCTTGAACGGGAACATTACCCTAAAATCTCAGCTTTCTAGCATCTCAGAACCCCGAGTTATGAATTCACGCGGGAAAATTTTGGGGGGTCCGTACGCGGGTATCACGCTTACCCGGCGGCTGGATTTGAGCTCATTAGCACCTGCTTGAACGGGGAACATTACCCTAAAATCTCAGCTTTCTGGCATCTCAGAACTCCGAGTTATGAATTTACGCGGGGAAAACTTTGGGGGGCTCGTGCGCGGGTACCACGCTTAGCCGGGGGCTGGATTTGAGCTCATTAGTACCTGCTTGGACGGGGAACATTCGCATAAATTTCAGCTCTCTAGCTTTTCTGGTTCGCGAGTTATCAGCTTACCCGTAAAAAACTTTGGCGGGGTTTTACGTGGGTACTACGTGGGAAAGACCGCCCAATTTGGGGATAGGGGCCCGTATGTGGATATAGATTAAGTCCCCAAAATTTCAGCCTCGTAGCTTTTGCCGGTCTCGAGATGAAAAATCGGTACAAACGCTCAACACACACAAACACACACACAGACGCACACACACACACACAGACAACCTCTCGTCAATATGCGTTTTTTGCATTGCATTGCTGCAAAAAACGTATAAAAATGTTATCGAACCAATCTGTCCACTGCGAATGAAAGCCATTCGTTTGGCCGTCGATCGCGATCATTGAACCTGAAAAAAGTCAAATGCTCAGAAGGCAATCCAACCAGCGAGGAGCCGCACTAAACCAGCCGTTTTTTATTAAAGTGAAAAAAGCTTCGTGGTACCATAACCGCTTGATCTCCGTTACTCAAAATGCATGGCTTGTGACCTGTCTAATAAATAAGTAGTAAAACCTCATTAAAAGTGTCTTAGTAAAAAATGTCCGACAATGAACCTCACGAGAATGTTTCCAGGATGCAGGTCGCCATGCACGAAGTTATCCACAAAAATCATTTTCAACAGTGTCCGAGCTCCAATTAATGCAACTTTCTTCTTCACTGCACTCTTCTCTTTCATCTGTAAAATCAACAATGAAACAGCAGATTTTTCTTTTTCTCCCCGATGAGCATAAGAAATCGAAGAGCAGCATTACCAGATGTTCGTCCGTAACCAGTCTGTTGATGTAAATTCCAGTCTCGTGCGTTTCAATAATCACATCTCTCGAGTAACAAAGAACCTGTGGGAAGCGCACTCCCGTTTTCACCGGGTCAAAATTGTTACTGAATCGCTGAAACAAAGCAAAATAACATAACAAGCACACAAATTCTGCAACAGCAGTGGTCAACAGTTAGGAAGACGGTCTTCAGTGAGAGAGCAGGGTGATAGCACTCATTTGCGAAATGGCCAGCTCAAAATCTTCGAGTTAAATGCTAACGCGGAGAGCTGCAACATCGACGGCCAAAAAGGGCGCAACCATAAATAGCGGATGTTCCAAGGCAATCAAGCAAAT